TGCTGGGAAGCTGGGGAGGTGAAGAGAGGTTTGGTGAATGGATACAAAAATACAGTTAGGGGCTGGGTGCAGCAGCTATTTGGGAAGCCAAGGTGAGAAGATGGCTTCAGCCCAGGAGCTCAAGACCAGCCTGGGCAACATGGTGAAACCCTGTCTCTAAAAAAAAAAAAAATACAAAAAAATTAGCTGGGCATGGTAGTGTGTGCCTGTAAACCCAGCTACTCTGGAGGCCGAAATGGGAGAATCGCTTGAGCCTGGGAGGTTGAGGCTGCAGTGAGCTGTGATCATGACTACGGCACTGCATTCCAGCCTGGGTAACAGAAGGAGACCCTGTCTTAAAAATAACAACAAAAAACACACAAAACGACCCCAAATAAATATAGTTAGACAGAAGAAATAAGTTCTAGTATTTGATAGCACAGTAGGGTGACTCTAGTTAACAACGATCTACTGTATAGTGTGAACTAGCTAGAAGAGATGTGAAATGTTTCCAGTACAAAGAAACGAAAAGTGTTTCAGTTGCTCGATCTCCCAAGTACCGTGATTTGGTCATTACATGTCGTATGCATGTATCAAAACATCACATGTACCATGTAGTTATGCATCAATTACATAGTTTTGAGCTGAAAGTCCACTGGATTAGATGCGTGGCAGGAATGGAGGGCAGGGATCAGGCTTTCTTGCTCACCATTGCACCCCAGGCCTAGCACAGTGCCTACACAGAAAACCAAGAGGGTTTTGTGGCTGTTTACGGCCTTGAAAATTAGTACCTGCATCAAGAGCCAGCATGCTTCTGCCAGGGTAGTTGCTAAATATTTCATCTTCTAAAGAGGGGGATAAGGCAAAACATCCCATATTCGTCCTGCAAGGGAGTTACTCAAACATAGTGTTTTCATCTTCTAGAGTTGAAAGAGAAATTCAAGTCTGGGCACGGTGGCTCACACCTGTAATCCTAGCACTTTGGAAAGCTGAGGTGGGTGGATCACCTGAGGTCATGAGTTTGAGACTAGCCTGGCCAACATGGCAAAACCCCATCTGTATTAAAAATACAAAAATTAGGCCAGGCATGGTGGCTCACACCTGTAATCCCAGCACTTTGGGAGGCTGAGGCGGGAGGATCACCTGAGGTCAGGAGTTCGAGACCAGCCTGGCTAAAATGGTGAAACCCCATCTCTACTAAAGAGACACAAAAAATTAGCCGGGCATGGTGACGCATGCCCGTAGTCCCAGCTACTCAGGAGGCAGAAGCAGGAGAATTGCCTGAACCTAGGAGACGGAGATTGCAGTGAGCCAAGATCACACCACTGCACTCCAGCCTGTCCGAAGAAGAGAGACTTGGTCTCAAAAAAAAAAAAAAAATTAGCTGAACAAGGTGGTGTACACCTCTAGTCCCAGGTACTCAGGAGGCTGAGGCAAGAGAATCGCTTGAATCCAGGAGGTGGACGTTGCAGTGAGCTGTGATTGTACCACTGCACTTTAGCCTGGGTGGCAGAGAGAGACCCTGTCTCAAAAAAATAGTAATAAATAAATAAATAAATAAAAGACTGGGCATGGTGGCTCATACCTGTAATCCCACCACTTTGGGAGGCTGAGGTGGGTGCATCACCTGAGATCAAGAGTTCAAGACTAGCCTGGCCAACAGGGTGAAACTCCATCTGTACTAAAAATGTGAAAGTTAGCTAAGCATGGTGATTCGTACCTGTAATCCCAGCTACTTGGGAGGCTGAGGCAGGAAAATCACTTGAACCCAGGAGGTTGGAGTGCAGTGGCACTCCAGCCTGGGCTACACAGTAAGACTTCATCTCAAAAAAAAAAAATTGAAATCAGCATGGATCCTGTTACATGGGTTTGTACTCCATAAGCACATGGAATCTCGCTACCTGGAAGACAGAGATATACAGATCGCCGAAACCCAGTGAAGGGGGTTATAATTCATCTTATTTTAGAAAACCATGATGGAAGCTAATGGCTTAATAAGTGAAAAGCACCAGTTATGGTTCATCTGAGGAAAAAAGTAACTCTGGTACTTTAAAATTGCTTTGGTAAGTAATACCATTGACTTCTTTGTGAGTAATATTTTGCCACACTCTGGGAGGTATAAATCTTGGAAGGCTGGATGTGGTGGCTCATGCCTATAATCCCAGCACTTTGGAAGGCCGAGGCGGGTGGATCATGGGGTCAGGAGTTCAAGACCAGCCTGGCCAAGATGGTGAAACCCCGTTCTCTACTAAAAATATAAACATCAGTCGGGCGTGGTGGCAGGTGCCTGTAATCACAGCTACTTGAGAGGCTGAGGCAGGAGAATCACTTGAACCCGGGAGGCGGAGGTTGCAGTGAGCCAAGATTGCACCACTGCACTCCAGCCTGGGCACAGAGTGAGACTCGTCTCAAAAAAAAAAGAAAGAAAGAAAGAAAAAAAATTACATTATTTATTTATTTAATTTTGAGATGGAGTCTCATTCTGTCACCCAGGCTGGAGTGCAGTGGCACCATCTCAGCTCACTGCAACCTCCACCTCCTGGGTTCAAGTGATTCTCCTGCCTTAGCCTCCCAAGTAGATGGAACTACAGGTATGTGCCACCACACCCAGCTAATTTTTTATTTTTAGTAGAGATGAGGTTTCTCCATGTTGGTCAGGCTGGTCTTGAGCTTCCAACCTCAAGTAATCCACCCACCTCGGCCTCCCAAAGTGCTGAGATTGCAGGCATGAGCCATGGTTTTATTTTTATTTATTTTTATTTTTTGAGACAAAATCTTGCTCTGTTGCCCGAGTTGCAGTGCAGTGGTGTGATCTGGGCTCACTGCAACCTCCATCTCCTGGGTTCAAGCAATTATCCTGCATCAGCCTCCTGAGTAGCTGAGGTTATAGGCATGTGCCACCCCTCCAGGCTAATTTTTTTTTGTATTTTTAGTAGAGATGAGTTTTCACCATGTTAGGCTGGTCTCAAACTCCTGACCTCATGATCCACCCACCTCAGCCTCCCAAAGTGCTAGGATTACAGGCACGAGCCACCACGCCCAGTCTGGTTTTAATTTTAAAAAGAAAAAGAAAAAGAAAAAGAAAATCCCAAGTATTCACCAATATATGAAGAAAACTGCAACCCTCATGCATTGCTGGTGGAAAGGTCAAATGGTACAACCACTGTGGAAAACGATTTGGCTGTTCCTCAACAAGCTAAACATAGAATTACCGTGTGATCCAACATTTCCAGTCCTAGGTATATGCCCCAAATAATTGAACATAGGTGTTCAAATAAAAACTTCACAGAAATAGTCATAGCAACACTATTCTCAACAAGTAAAACATGGAAACAATACAAATGTCCACCAGCCGATGAACGAACAGCATGTGGTCTGTCGGTACCATGAAGTATTAGTCATAAAAGGGTGCTACGACATGAACGAAGCCTGAAGACCTTATGCTCAGTAAAAGAAGCCGGATATGAAAGGGCATGTAGTCTATAATTCCATTCCCATGAAATATCCAAATAAAGCTAATCCATACAAATAAGGGCAGGTCCATGCACGGTGACTCGTGCCTGTAATCCCAGCACTTTGGAAGGCCGAAGTGGGAGAATTTCTTGAGCCCAGGAGTTCAGAACCAGCCTGGGCAACATAGTGAGACCTTGTCTCTACAAATAATCATAATAAATAGCCAAAGTATTAGCGCATGCCTGTAGACCCAGCTACTTAGCAGGCTGAGGTAGAAGGATCATTTGGGCCCAGGAGGCTGCGGCTGCAGTGAGCCATGATAGGGCCTCTACAATCACCCTAGGAGACAGTCTCAAAAATAAACAGATGTAAAAACAAAAATATTCTTGTTTTCTATTTATGTATTAATTAATTAATTAATTTTTTCCTGAGACAGAGTCTCGCTCTCTTGCCCAGGCTGGAGTACAGTAGCTTGATCTCGGCTCACTCCAACCTCTGCCTCCAGGTTTGATTCTCCTGCCCCAGCCTCCTGAGTAGCTGGGGCTACAGGCACACGCCACCATGTCTGGCTTTTTTTTTTTTTTTTTCAGTACAAATGGGTTTTCACCATATTAGCCAGGATGGTCTCGATCTCCTGACCTCGTGATCTGCTCATCTCAGTTTCCCAAAATGCTGGAATTACAGGCATGAGCCACTGCGTCCAGTCAAAAAATTAGCCAGGTGTGGTGGTAGGACCCTGTAGTGTGTAGGCTGAAGTGGGAGAATTGCTTGAGCCTGGGAGGTTAAGCCCAGCCTGGGTAACCAGACCCTGTCTCTACAAAAAATAAAAAAAATAGCCAAGCATAGTAACATGTGCCTGTGGTCCCTGCTACTCAGGAGGCTGAGCTGGGAGGATCACTTGAGCCTGGGAGGTTGAGGCTGCAGTGAGCCATGATTGCCAGTACTCCAGCCTGGGCAATAGAGCAAGAAGACCCTGGCTCAAAGGGAAAAAAAAAGTTATTTCTATAAACATAAGCACACTAAATTAATTTCTGCCCATAAATTGGATTGCGGTTCTCTCAAGGTAAGAAATGCTCTCCAGTGACTCCTATAAATACAGCTCCTTGGCTATGTGGTTTCAAAAATGGTAATATTTAACATCAGAAATCTATGCCCAGCAGGTGCCCCAAGTCTGAAAAGTTACCTACCAGGCTGTTTTGGGGTATTAAGAACTTGTAAGGTTAAGGCTAAGAAGTTAATGTCCTAGAAATCTGGCAAGTTGGTGTTGATGTAACTCAAATACTGTGAAGGTGCTTTGTTTTGCTAAGAAAATGGCTTGAAATATGTCTGTATATACTGCCTGCAAATGTAGCCACTCTGGGTATATCTATGAGTCTGCAATGGCTGAAGAAAGGAATGTTAGTGTAGAAATATTCCCTATTTGGGAGTTTATGCAAAACTAAAGGAAGCATATTCCATAGCCAGTGAGGAGAAGGGAGAGATACACGTATACATCCTCTGATAATTATAAAATCATTTTAAAGTGTTGTTAATAGAGAACAAGGATAATCAAACAAGAAATAAAAATGAATTTATTACAAAAAGAGTTTATTAGACAAACACACGGATAGATTGAGTCTAAGGATTTGGTTGAAAAGCCACCGGGCCTTTTAAAGCAGCAGACGTCCAAAGTCACACGCTTCAAGCATTACTCTGCAACGTTCTGTAGAAACCGGAAGGGTCAGGAATTACAGCACCCTGCTAGGCCAGGGACACATCAGCCTCCCACCTCCTCCCTATTCCCTCTCCTCCACTGAAGTCTGTGATTCTGGTTCCTGAGAAGACTGGAATGAATGCTTCCCACTTATTACAGAAATTCAGCTTCTTTGTTACAGAGGTATTGTCACATTTGAATTGCCTGTTTAATATGGGATATTGCTTGTGAGAAACCAACAAATGGTTATTAAAGGAGTGTTTACCAAAGCGTAAGGGAAGTTCTATCTAACATGGTAACTGCATTTGTAATCTCATCTGGCACCAACTGTCTTTTCGAAAGTTACAATGTGTCATTTGGAGGACATTCTTCTTTAGAAGGAAAGGAGTCTAATTAGCGGATATTAAGTAACTAAATAATATATACTATCAAATCCTATGAGAGTCTTCATTTAATTTAGGAGAAAATGGGAATATTTTCTATCATTCCTGATAAAAGAACTAGATACTTCAAGATTAGAGTAATGGAATGGGTTATAACACCAAACAGTGTGCTTTACTTTGAAGCCATTGATCATTAAACTTAACTGCTAATAGCACAGGCTACCAAGAAATAGCAAGAAAGTTGGTGTCCACATAGATCTCAGCTGGCCTCAAGTAATCAAATGTGAGAATGAAACATACATGACAAACTGGGGATGTCTGGGTTTCTGAGATGTGGGCTACACGATTATATTACGTAGAAAACTAAAGGAAGCATATTCCAAGCAAAACTGGCAAGGGAATTTCACAGAACGAATGTTTTAAGGGAGGTCATAAAAGCAGTTAAAATGCATGTCCACGTATTAAGTTCCTGGAGATGAATCCATTATGAACAGGACAGCATTTCACAGCCAAGTGCTGCTTTCACTGGCCCTTACAGTCTCAGCTTGTTCACCTCCTTGTTCACCATGGAGAGTCTGTTTGTTAACAAGAATTGTTTTCAAGTCAGAATCCTAGATGAAGATCTAAAAATGTTGAGCTTGTGCTTTTAAAAAACAGTCCAACTGTCCACATGTAGTAGTGGTGCCTGCTGCTGGTGGAGCTAGCTCTCCCTGGCTCAGTCTTGGAAGCCCTGGAATCCCTGTGACAGGCAGATGAGCCAGGACTGTAAGTTTTAAAGTATAAACTTCTGCAAATCAAAGTAGGCAGCCTCATGCATAGACCTCGTGATATTAGCTGAGCCATCGCTGCTTTCAGTATCATTTCTATGCCTTTGGGGCCACTGCGTGGTTTGGTTCAAGCTGTTCTCAAAACTGGCAGTGCAACAGACCTGTGTCTATTTCAGCAGATTAATCTAGCTACAAAGTGGAGTCACCTTTCCTACCACAAACTTCCGGCCTACTCAGAAAACCAAGGTACCCCCTCTCTCAGGAACAAGCTGGGGAGGTTATTTGGAACAAGTATTGTGCTCCAGACCCAATCTTAAGTAAAGATCTAGAGATATGGAGTTGTATGTTTTTTGTTTTTTTTTTTTTAAGAGACGAGGTTTCACCATGTTGGCCAGGCTGGTTTTTGAACTCCTGACCTCAAGTAATCCACCCGCCTCGGCCTCCCAAAGTGCTGAGATTACAGGCATGAGCCACCATGCCCGGCCAAGTTGTATGCATTTTAAAAATAGTCTGTTTCAGAGCGGCCCATGTGTGCTCCAGGACCAAGCTCTCCCCAGCCTTGCTCAGGATTTGGAAGAAGTCTCTGGGTATGGGCCGAACTATCACACATGAGGAAGGGAAGCCATCAGCTGTGAACAGAGACTGCTCCTCACCCTCTGGTGAGGCAGCACCTTTGAAGCTTCCATCCCAGCTGCCAGCAGCTGGCGGCTGAGGCGTAGCTGCTCCTGGTGTTTCCTGTAATCTTTGTTATTAGCCCCGAACTGGGTCCATCCAGACCCTCAAAACATAGCCCCTGAACTGAATTAAACCTGACCCAAAGTGAACAGCAAGGTCCAGAAACCGCAAGGTTTGAGGTCAGTCTCGGTCCCCTGAAATTTCGGGGGCGGATTCCTGACCCCTTGGTTGCCGGCGAGGATCGCCGGTGCACTCGGCGGGCAGGGGTGCGGCGTCCCCGGCTGCTGACAGGGAAGCGGCGCGCTGACACCCGCGCACCGGCACCCCGGTGGAGGAGCCAAGGGTACACGACGATGCCAATGATGGGCCGGAGGCTCCGGATTCATAGGTGCGGGGCGTAGAAGGGGGTCAGGTAGGAAGGCCCGAGGAACGGCGCGAAAGGGCTCCCAGGGGTGGCGGCCGTCAGCGGGAAGGAGGAGGCAGCCGGGAAGAGGACGTTGGCCGTGGAGTAGGAGGGAAAAGTCTGGAAGGGCAGAGTCCCTGTGCCGGGAGGGCCGGGACTGCCCCCTGCGCCGCCGCCGCCGCCCCCCGCTGCAGCCCCTGGTTGGGGCGCACCACCTCCGACCTGAGCCGCGCCGTCGGCGCCCGGGTTCTGCTTCTTCCACTTGGTCCTGCGATTCTGGAACCAAATTTTGACCTGCGTCTCGGTGAGGCTGAGCGACAGCGCGAGGTTCAGGCGCTCGCACACGGACAGGTAGCGCGTGGCCCGGAACTTGTTCTCTAAGGCCACCAGCTGCTCGTAGGTGAAGGCGGTGCGCGCGCGCCGCGGCTTGGCGCAGTTGGACTCCACGCGCCGGCGCCGGGGCCGCGGGGAGCCCGGGGAGCCAGGGGACCCTGCAGGGCCGCCCCCGCCTTCCTCGCAGGGCTCCCCAGACGCCAACGCCGCGACAGGGGCGTCAGGTGAGCGCGCCAGGCCCAGCAGCTTGCGCGCAGCCCGCTCCCGCCGCCGCGGCCTCCCGGGATCCTCCGCATCCTCCTCCTCTTCCGCCTCGGAACCCTCCAGGGGGGACGCCCCGCCGGCGCCTCGGCCCGCAGCATCTAGGGGAGAAGGGGGCGGTGAACAGAAGCCTCTCGGGGTCCTCAAACCTCCTCCTCGTCCTCCCAAGATCAAGCGGCTGTCCCCTCAACCCAACTCCCGGTGCCGTTGCTGTCCCCACGTCTCGCTTCCCTCAGGCCCGACTGCACATCCTCGCCAGCGATTTTAGGGGAATCATGTCCTCTTGCCCTTTACAAATCTGCCATCAAGTAAGGGTCCAAGAAATGTTTGCTGAATGAATGAATGACACCCCGCATTAAAAATAATAGTGACCTTACTGAGTAACCATATTGGGGGTTAGGATCACTGTATTAAGACATCTAGTTATCAAACACCTTTAGGGCTGTGCCTCCCCAGACCCCAGAAGCCTATTTTGGTCTAGGACCCCTAGCAATTAAAAAAGAAGTTATTAAGCTCTCTGCCCCCATCCCACCCCCGCCCCCGCTTTAAAGTGAAATTCCCCCTTTCCCATCTTCTCTCTCCCGCCGTGTTAATAGAGTTTCAGATTTGTGCGGGGCCGGATCGATAGATGTCATCTATTAAAGGTAAGTTTTAATCGAACAATATTAGGATCAGACAGGGAAAGGGGGTTTGAAGTCGGTACCTGCAAGCTGCGGGCAGGAGATATGCAGGCACCAGTAATAGAATATCGATCACGAGGGTGGGGGAAGGGAGCGCGGCCCCTCGGAGAGAAGATCCGAACAATTACCAGGCCGCCGGCCCGGGCCCAAGTGCCGCCGCCAGAGGCGCCCGGGGCCCCAGGCAATCATCACCAAACTTGGGGAGGGGAACGGGGGGCTGCGCGACATCCAGTCTCCCGGGAGACCTGAGCCTCTGACCCTCCAGGGAGCCGCCTTTCTTGGTCTTATCCCAAGCCCCACCCAGCAGGACTCCTGCTGTCTTTCGTCCTTCCTTCCAGCCACAAACTTTCCTGACCTCTCCATCAGGTGTCCGCCAGCCTAGGAAGTCAAAGGGTTTTGAGGAAAAAGTACCAAAAGCTTCCCAACACCCCATCAGAGACCCGCCCCCAGCTCCGGTCAACAGTGGGGTCTGGGGAGCCTAAGCTCGTGAGGCAGCCCAGCCTCGCAGGCGTCTCCGGGTGGTTTGAAGTAGGCGCCTGACCCCTGGCGCAAGCCTTAGCCTCAGCTCCCCCATCCATAAAATGGGGGTGATGTGAATGATGCTGTCCATCTCTCAGGTTCCGAAATTTTCATCACCTTTATCCCAACCCTTAGCCCACGTCCTAGCACGTGGCAAGCGAATTAAATGCCCGATAAATGAGTAAGCCTGGCAAGGTAGGCGCCGGGTCAGTGAAGTTTCCACCGCGAGCGTCAGAGCTGTGGTGCGGGTAAGCTTGGCGGGTGAGCAGGGATGCGGCAAATCCCTGCCGCGGAATTCGGGGAGCCTCCTCTCTGCATCTCGCCAATTCCGGGGCGGGGGCTACACTTCGCACGCGGTCCCGAGCGCCTTCTCTCTTTGAGGAAAACGCAGTGAAGGACCACTCACCAGGCCCGGCTATTCCCCAAACACTGCGCAGTGTTGGGGCGGGGGCCGCCTTGCATCTTACCAGGGGTCTCCAGCTGTCCGTCAGGGTTCTCGACGCTGGCATCCTTCCCCGCTTCGACCTCCGCCAAACTTTTCCTGGCTTCCCGGGGAGCCGGGCGCACGGGCGGGAGCGCGGCGCGGGTGAATTTCTGCGGGTCCAGGATGTCCAGGACCGAGAAGGAGATCTTGTGGTGGGAGGGAGCCGCCTTGGCCCCGCCGTCTTGCCATGCCAGCATGCCCGTCGCCTGCCGGCCGGCGGTCGGCAGCGAAGGGTCTGGGATGGCGGCGCTCGGGCTTGCCTTAGGCTGTGGCTCAACCGCAGCTCTCCAGCCGGTGGCCGGGTTCGCGCGACCAACTGAAGCTGGGGAGGGGGATGGGGAGGCGGGGCGGGGAGGGAGCCGCGGGGCGCTGCGCGCCGATTGGCACCGGCGCAACGCGGGCCAGCCTCGGGACTACCCGGCGCCGTGTGGAGGCCGCTTGCCTGGGCTCGAGGAAGCTCCGCGCGCCCGGTGCGCGCGCCCGCGGGGCCAGTGCAGTCGGCTCCGCGCGCCTCCGCCCAACCTTCTGGGACTCTCGGAGGGTGCCAGGGAGGCTTTCATCCTGGGGATCCCTCCCCCCCGACACACACACCTCTGTCACTGAAGTTTGTGCCCTTTTTCCAGCGCACCCGCCTTCAACTTGGGGATGCAATTGAGGCCAGGACTGATTACTTTGATGAATCCAGGGAATGCTCCGCGCATCTCCTGCCCTGCAAGTGAATGACAGTAACAGCTTCAGACCCGGTTATCACGGATTTAAAAGCCCTCATGTTCTCTCAGTTTAGGGTTCACAAAACCCTGAGGCTTGCACGATCTCATTCCTTGAGCATCCCCGTGAGATGGGCGTCACCTGACACAGACCAGTGTCCCCATTTTAAAGATGAGGAAATCGAGGTTCACAGGCCAGAAGAGATTTGCCCGGGGTCACTGTGAGTTGGTGACTGAGTCTGGGTTTGGACCTGGGTCTTCTGGACCAGGGCTTTTTCAGTACACCCTGCTCTTTCGAAAACGGAGGGAGAAAATCCCGGACTGTCAGTCTTTTGCTTCCACCCCAAAGCCAAGCCAGGCCAGAGGCCAGCAAGAGGTCTGTAGAGGTGACGCCTGCGGCTTCGGAAACCTTGGTGTTTTCAGGCACAGAGCCAAGGGAGATGGCTGAGGGTGTCTGCCCTGGTTTGCTATGACCCGGAGCACAGCCCTCGATGCACAAACTTCAGGCCTTCTCCAGAGACACAAATTCCATCATGTGCAACAGAAATTGGACCTGAGAATTAGGTTGCATCTCTGACCCCCATTCCTCCCCAGCCCCAGAAACAGAAGATTCAAAAATGCCTGTCTGGTTTGATTTTAAAGTCAGAGAAGAGAAACCGTTGAAATGGCCCTCATCTGCCCTACCCCTGGGAAGGTGATCACCAGTGGCTGGAGAAGCTTTCACTGGCCACACCCTTCCTAAATTTCTTCTTTTGTCTCTCAGAGAGCACACAGCAATCTGTGAGCACTAAGCATTTTGTTTCAGGCAAATTCTGAGGCTTCTCCTAGTGTTTGGCCCAGAACCACCTCTGACTCGTTCCTTTCTTCTCTGCCCCATGGGGTTTCCAAACAATGACGTGGCAATTAATATTGTCTGAGCAGGTAAGCAGTAGGAAGAGGAGGAGAAACCTTCTCATTAAAGTGCTGGGGGCTGCTAATCCCATCTGTTATTGAAGAGGCATTCTTAGAGGCCAGCTCCTTGTAGCTTTTCTCATTCAAACCTTGCTGCCCCTCCCAGAGGTGGTCACTGTATTCCCTGCAGACTTTAAAGCCCTGCCGAAATTCAAGCTAGCTCCAGTCCTAAAGAGAAGATGGATTGTGCTTTTAAAGCTCAGGAAAGGAAGTGCCCTTCCCAAGCCCGCTGGACCACCTCCCACCAAAGTGAATGCACACCAAGTGAAAACCCAAAGAAAAGATGGCCCTGAAATTAAAAGTGGCGCCCGGGATCCTGGACTACAAATCACAGAGCCTTCCTGAAATACTGAGAGGGTACTTCGTTTGCTGTTTTAACAACGCTTTCCCACCCAGTTCTTGAATTTTTTTTCCATCTTCCTTTTTGTTTCTCCCCCTTTTACCCTTTTGATCCTAGCCGCCCCTTCTACCTTTTCCCACCATGTTTACTTTTTTTTTCTTTCTTTTTTCCTTTTCTTTTCTTTTCTTTTTTTTTTTTTTTTGAGACGGAACCTCCCTCTGTCATACAGGCTGGAGTTCAGTGGCACGATCTCAGCTCACTGCAACCTCTACCTCCTAGGTTCAAGCAATTCTCCTGCCTCAGCCTCCTGAGTAGCTGGGATTACAGGTACATGCCACTGTGCCCAGCTAATTTTTGTATTATTAGTAGAGACAGGTTTTTACCATGTTGGCCAGGCTGGTCTCAAACTCATGATCTCAAGTGATCCGCCCACCTCAGGCTCGCCAAGTGCTGAGATTACAGGTGTGAGCCATCATGCCCGCCCATGTTTACATTTTTAAATGCTTAGGTTCTTCAGGGTAGCTAGGAATAGATTTCCTTAAGTTAGCCCCAGATGAAAGTATGTGGCTTCCCACTGTCCCTCTTATTCATTCTCCTGTAAGAAACCTTAAGACTCTATTTTCACAGGATGGTGGGCATTCCAGGGGGCACCCTAAACCCCAAACCAGAGGGACAAGGGAGGCCCAGACAGCCAAGAGTAACCCAAACCTGAATCATTTCCATTGCACTCCATAGATTACCTCAAAAATTTTTGTTTAAATGATATGAATCATCTTTCCCTTCAGGTTCACAGATGTTAAATATAGGGAAGGATCCGAAAAAGGAGGAAGCAACAAATTGGAGAGAAAGCCAAGAACGTGTGGAGGCCACATTCCTTAAACCTGCTAATCTTACAAACTCCTTCTAGTGTTTTTTCTATTTTGCTTGCCCCTTATTTTTCAGATTTTTTTTTTTTTTTCTTTTTGTGCGAGACAGGGTCTCGTTCTGTTGCCCAGGCTGGAGTGCAGTGGCTCGATCCTCACTGCAGCCTTCACCTCCTGGGCTTAAGCGATTCTTACGCCTCGGCCTCCCAAGCAGCTGGGATAACAGGAGCATGCCACCATGCTGGGCTGATGTTTTATTTTGTATTAGACAGGGTCTCACTCTGTCGCCCAGGCTGGAGTGCAGAGGCACGATCTTGGCTCACTGCATGCAACCTCCGCCTTCTGGGTTTAAGTGGGTCTCCTGCCTCAGCATCCAGAGAAGCTGGGATTATAGGCACGCGCCACCACCCTGGCTAACTTTTTTATTTTTAGTAGAGATGGAGTTTCACCATGTTGGTCAGGCTGGTCTCGAACTCCTGACCTTATGTGATCTACCCACCTTAGCCTCCCAAACTGCTGGGACTACAAGCGTGAGCCACCATGGCTGGCCGATTTTTTATATATATATATGGAGTCTCCCTCTGTCACCCAGGTGGAGTGCAGTGTCGCAATCTCAGCTCACTGCAACCTCTGCCTCCTGGGTTCAAGTGATTGTACTGCCTCAGCTTCCTGAGTAGCTGGGACTACAGGCGTGCACCACTGCACCCAGCTTATTTTTGTATTTTTAGTAGAAACAGGGTTTCACCATGTTGGCCAGGCTGGTCTCGAACTACTGACCTCATGATCCACCCACCTTGGCTTCCCAAAGTGCTGGGATTACAAAGTGCTGGGCGTTAGCCATCATGCCCGGCCAGAGATTTCTGAGCTGTGTGTTCAGTGTGACATGAGGTAATGTGAATGCTCATGCTTAGTACTTGGCTGCAGGCAATAGATGACACACAAGAAACTCCACTGGGTCTCCCATCAACACTGGAGGGATAGAAATGCCCTCTCTTACTCATCCAACTTAAAGAGAAACCTGCTACCCAAAGAACAGGATACATTCTTCAATGTGGGGGACAGTGGAGGAGGAGGTCCTAGGTAATTTTTTTTTCTGGCCACCTGTTTTGTAAAAGACCAGGAGGCAATGAGAATCCCTTCCAGTAACATATGGCCATGTGTTTGGCTCACTACCATCCTCACATGTGTATTTATACCCACGGTATCCCTATATAATATATCCAGATCCAGCAAGCCACCTTCCCGCTGTGCATGGAGTTGATTTGTTTTTTTTTTTTTTTTGGCCTGGGCATTAAAATTCTGCCTGAGTGCTGTCTTTAAATTGCTTTGATGCTAGGTGGGTTCCAACCCTGACCTGTCCTGATGGCAAGTGATGCCTGTAACAAGCTCGGGATCAATATTCATAGCGGGTGTCCTGGGCTGATAACACTATCCAAGACAATGTTCACCATCAGTGCAGACGGCTGAGATACTGCGCCATTAGGGATGTTGTGTTAAATAACCTGATCCATTTCTGGGGCTATTTAATGAATTTCACAGTTTAGATAGTATCTTTAAGGAGAAGGCAAAGGCTATTCCGGAGGCACTGATGCAGATCAATGGTGCCAAGCTTCCCAAGGTATTCCACAAACAAAGGTGCCTATAATTCCAGCACAGTCTTAAGGAGCTGCTGCGTGCCATGAATAGTGTTAACAATAGAAAGAATTGGCAGTTTATGCAGAGGGAGGGAGGGCAGGTAATATTATGAGCCATGTTAAAGCATCTTAGATAAAATCTTATGTTCCTGAAATAAAATACAACTGAAATTCTCTAGGTAAAACCCTGCATTTTGAGCCAGCCCCCAGGGTAGGATATATATGCCAAAGAGACAGCTTCATAAGACACAGCTTGATAACGAAGAGGGTTACCTCGACTACCAGACAGCCTGCAGGCAACTCCTTTTCCCAGTACCCAGCCACCTTCCCCAAGATGTGCTTCTTCAACTCAAATCTGCCTGTAAGATGGGAGAGGGTAGGCACTGGATTTTAGAAGGAAGGTGCAGATAGCAGAAGCCGTGGTTTGTTTACTGGACTCTATGTCCCTTGGTGTTGGAGAGGTCATCTACAATTAAAGGCTAGCATTTACCATTTCCCACCAGAGCTTTGAACTCTGGCTGCCAAGCACAGGAAGTATTAAAAAAAAAAAAACACACACCTCATAGACTTGGTTGTGAAAGCTAAGTTCAAAGTAGAGCCTTCCCACCGGATCCCAAACCAAAGTTTAAAAAAGCCAGGCCAGGCACAGAGACTTATGCCTATAATCCTGGCATTTTGGGAGGCCAAGGCAGGCGGATCACCTGATGTCAGGAGTTCGAGACCAGCCTGACCAACATGGAGAAATCCTGTCTCTACTAAAAATACAAAATTAGCCTATCCAGGTGCCACATGCCTGTAATCCTAGCTACTGGAGAGGCTGAGGCAAGAGAACTGCTTGAACCTGGGAGGTGCAGGTTGCAGTGAGCCGAGATCACACCGTTGCACTCCAGCCTGGACAACAAGAGTGAAACTCAAAAACAAACAAGTGCAGAGCAGAGAAGCCACGAGAGACAGGCAGACTGGCAGGTTCCAGCCACTGCTGCCATTGCTGCGTTCTTCCTGAGGCTGGTTGTTCCATTCTGGGTTCCCTGGGAGCTTCACTGCATCCCTACAACAGAGTTTCTTCCTGGGCGCATCTCTGACTTACCCCACGTGAACTGGAGCGCTCCTTCTCAGGTTGTTTCTGGGACATGCTGCCATCACAGCCCTTGATGGATATCTCCGGCTTTACCTGATCTGAGGATCCACTTCCCCTTTTCTGGTCTCCATAGTTG